CATCGGCAGGCGGACTCTCAACCACTGCACCAGCAGGGAAGCCCCAAGGTGAATCTTTTAAAAGATTAACAGAATTAACAAACCTTTAGCTAGAATGACCAAGAAAAAAAGAGAGAAGACTTACTAAAATCAGGACCTAAAGTGTGGACATTACTATCAACCTCAGAGAAATAAAAAGGATTATAAGAGAATACTATGAATAACTGCATGCTATCAAAACAGATAATCCAGATGAAATGGACAAATTCCTAGAAACACACAAACTACCAACTGACACTAGAAGAATTAGAAAACCTAAAGAAACTTATAACAAGAGATTGAATCATCAATCAAAAACCTTCTAACCAACAAAAACCTGAGACCATATTCTACCAAACATTTAGAAGAATTAGCACCAATCATTCTCAAACTCTTCCAAGAAATGGAAGAGAAGGAAACAGTTCTTAACTCATTCTATGAGGTCAGGGATACCATGACACCAAAGCCAGACAACGACATCACACACACACACAAAAGAAAACTATACAGCAGTATTCCTTACAAATAAGAACAGAGAAATCATCAACAGGATACTAGGAAACTGAATCCAGCAGCACATTAAAAGGATTACACACCATGACCAAGTGGGCTTTATCCCAGGACTGCAATATCATTCAACATAAGAAAATCAACCAATGTAATATATCACATAATGGAATGAAGGAAGGAAACCACATGATCATCTCAACTGATGCAGAAAAAACATATGAATAAAATCCAACACGCCTTCATGATAAATAACCTCAGTAAACTAGGCAAAGAAGGGATTTCCTTAACATGATTCAAGGTATTTATGAAAAACCCACAGTTGACATTCCACTCAGATCAGGAAAAATTGAGAAGTATGTCCACTGTCACCACTTGCATTTGAAAGCATACAGGAAGTTCAAGGTGGGGCAATTAGACAAGAGAAAGAAATAAAGGTATACAAATTGGAAAGAAAGAAGTAAAATTAAATCTATTGAATTTATAGATGACATGATTTTGTATACAGAAATCCTAAAGAATGCACAAAACAAACTATTAGTGCTAATAAATGAATTCAGCACATGGTCAACACAAAAAAATCAGCTCTATTTCTACACAGTAGCAATGAACCAAAAATAAATAATTCCATTTACGATAGCATCAAAAAGAATAAAATTACTTAGAAATAAATTTAACCAAGGAAGTGTAAAACTTGTACACTGAAAAATATAAAACATTGCTGAAAGAAATTAAAAGACCTAAATAACTGGAAAGACATCCAATGTTCATAGACTAGAAGATAATATTGTTAAGATGGCCATACTTCCCAAACTGATTCAATGCATTCTCTATCAAAACCTCAACGGTCTTTTTTGCAGAAATGGAAAAGCTAACTGTAAAATTCATACAGAATTGTAAGGGACCGCTAACAGTCAAAAGAATCTTGAACAAGAACGAAGCGGGAGAACTCACACATTCCAATTTTAAAATCTACAAAGCTATAGTAAATGAGACAATGTAGTACTGGCATAAGAATAGACACATACACCACTGGAATAAAACTGAGAGTCCAGAAATAAATCCATATAGCTACAGTCAATTAATTTTCAACAGGGTGCCAAGACTTAACAAACAATGGTGGGACAACCAGGTATTCACATGCAAAGAATGAAGTTGAACTCGTACCTCACACCATGGACAAAAATGAACTCAAAATAGATGAAAGACCTAAATATAACAGCTAAAACTATAAAACTCTCAGAAGAAAAGTCAGGGGTAAATCTTCATGACCCTGAATTTGTCCATGGTTTCTTAGTTATAACACCAAAAAGCACAAGCAATAACATAATAGACAAAAAAAAAAAAGAAAAAAAAAAAAGACCACCAAAATTTAAAACTTTTGTTATCAAAGGACATTAGCAAGAAACTAAAAAGATAATTCATACACTGGGAGAGAATATTTGCAAATCATTATATTTGACAAGGGTCTAGTATCCAGAATACATAAAAGAACTCCTAAAACTCAGCAACAAAAAGAAAAACAAGCCAATTAAAAAAGTGTATAAGACTTAAAAAGACATTTTGCTAAAGAAGGCATACAAATGGCCAAACAAGCACATCATTAGCCAGTAGGGGATGCAAATCAAATCACAATGAGAGGGACTTCCCTGGTAGTCTGGTGGGTAAGACTACACACTCCCAATGCAGGGGACCCCAGGTTCAATCCCTGGTCAGGGAACTAGATTCCACATGCATGCCGCAACTAAGAAGCCTGCATGCCACAAGTAAACATGCCGCAGCAAATATCCCACGTGCCACAACTAAGACACGGTGCAGCCAAAATAAACAAATTAATTAATTAATTTTAAAAAAACCACAGTGAGATACTTCATACCCACTATCATAATAAGAAAAATACAGAAATACATACATAAAATATATTTAAAAAAAAAAATATATATATATATATATTTTTTTTAAAGGACCATATATAGTGAAATGCCATAGGGGTAGAGGTAGGAATACAACTGAAATGTATAGATTTCCAAAGGGAGAAGTAGGTAAGAATATATAGTGCTTATCATTAGGTGGTAAGATTTGATAAGACTTTGATTTAATAATTTCCAACAATGACAATTTATTACTTATGAACCTAAGTAAATAATCATTTAGTCACAGAATAAATATGTTGCGAACTACTCCTTCAGGAAGCACAGTCTCTTGAAATACTTATAAGCTGAGTATATTACATATAAAGTACATTTATTTCATAGATTTTTTTTCCAAAGGGAAGTTATTTCGTTTCCCTAAAGAAAAAAATTCAGTTTGCCCTTTTGAAGTGCAAAGGCTGATTAGACCTGGTTTATATAACGTGCTATTTTAAATTTAAAACCAAACTAGGCTTTCTGGGCTGTACTTATGATTTTTAAAGCCTCAGTGATGCTTGAAAACTACAATATTTTGGTTAACATGTTTTTAATAAAGGATATTATGCATATAAATGCAGTTCTCTCCTTTGGTACAATATCCTTGTAAATAAAATTTGCAGATCTCTTTTCTCTTCTCCAACTCTGCATCATGATCAAATTTACACTGATCTCCCTGTTCACAAAAAAAGAAAAGAAGAAAGAGGCAAAAAAAGAAAGCACTGAATTGAATTTTCTCCATGGTGTTTCATGGTAGAACTATGGTCATATCTCCAGTCTTTAAATAATGAGCTAATAATAATTCAAACAGTCCTTAGAATTCTTGCCCAAGACAGTAGATGTGACTCTTTGCAGAGAGCCAGCACAGTCAGCATGACCTCAGAGGATACTGCCTGGCTCCACCAGCACTCACCATTTCTAGCTGAGCTACTCTGGGGACTTATTTAACCTCCTGGTTTGGCCACGTTAAAAATGAGGATAATAACAGTGACTACAATTCACTGTGTCACTGTAAAGATTAAAACATTTAATATTAGTAATCTACTTTGAACAGTACTTGCCATACAGTCAGCATCATGTGTTTGTTAAATAAAGTCTCATTTCAACAAGTTATATTACTGCCCCAGAATATAATTAAATGAGTTCTGATATACAGTATTCAATGCAAGATACATTTTGAAGAACCAGTTTTATTACAACTATACAAGAAATGAAAAAACTAACCACCCCCTAAGATGACTTTAAATTTTAAAGATTATTTCAGAAGTTAAAATGATTTATGATACCCCTGTGAATTTACCTTAATACATCTCCCTTCCAGAAAGTATTTACAGATTTGTTTTCCTTTATGTTCCACTGTGTGCTGATTAATAAATTCCTGAGTCATAACCTTCCATTTTTTCCCTGGTTTACTATACTGCAAGAGAAAAGATTATTTAAATAAAACATATGAAGTAGTAAAAAGGTATTAAAATTTATAGTCAAATGAATCTAGAAAGCAGTATACATTGATTATTAAAAGTAGTGAAGACTGGACATTCTGATGCTATTCATTTACTTGGAGAGAGATATGCTTCTAGAAAAGTGCTTGCAAAGAACTACTAGTTGTTGCAAAGAACCCTATTTCTAATTGAATGAGGACATACAACTACATTTTTCAAAATAAAATTATGAAAATCTTGAAAATTAACAATAATACTTTGGCAAAGGTACAATAAAATATTTACTCTCATGTACTGTTGATAGAAGACGTAAAATATCCATACTGTTCGACACAAAATTTGTACTTTTCGGGATTATTCTGAAGGAATTATCAGGAAGGCACACAAAGATTTATTCACAAAAATAACTACTGCAGAATTATTTACAAGTAAAACAAACAAACAAAACAAAATCTAGAAATACTGTACCCATCCAAAACTAGGAGACAAGTCAAACACATTATGATACATTTAGGTGGTAGAATATTATACTGTCATTAAAAAATCATGGGATGGAAAGACCATTTGGGGACATAAGAAAATGTTCACAATACCTTACCAAGTGAAAATGTGACCCCAGTTTATAATCATAAAGACAAAGAAAAAGACTAAAAGAATATACCCCTACCTTTAACAGTGTATGTCTCTAGATATATCTCTAAAAAATTATAGATTGCTTGCGTGTGTGGTTATTTTGTACTTTCTATAGGAAAAAAATGGAGGATGTATTATCTTTAACTTTTAAATTAAGAAAATTAAGAAAAATTAGTATGTGGTAGAAAATCTCACAGCCCTACCTATTTTTCTTAGTTCTTCTCCTCAGTCTCCTATTCAACTTTTGCTACAAGTATAAGAGGGTGGAGTAGCAAGAGAGTAGGATGCTTAGCCAAGCTAAGGACTTCCACCCATGAGTGCTATAAAATATCACTGTTTTTCAGGCTCTTAGCATGCACAGTGCCTTGAACATCAAGGAGCTTAATAACTATTGATATTTGCTCTTCTGATTTGCTATCAGTTTTCCCTTTTCCCTCAATTTGCTAGAAGATGGAGAACAAAGCACAATCTACTGAAAACAGGAAACTGCCTCACAGCAAACACTTAAGGAAATAGATGGCTAAACTTAAATCTGATCCTCAGCACTCCCAACTGATGAAATATATATTTTACTAGAAGAATTCTGAAAAAAAGTATAATACCAGGAAAATAGATAATCTTTGAGGTTCTTTTAAAAAAATATATATAAATATATATATATTCCCAAATTGCCCAAGGAAAACGCAAAGAAACTGCTTATACTCTACTCTGATAGGATCATTTAAAATGTCTTAAATCTATGTAAATTTTACTTACAAACATTTTCTATTTCTAGGCTCACTTAGAACAAGTAGATATAAATGACCAGTTCACATATGCCTTCTGTACAAGGAATTGTGGCTGTAATAAAATAGGCAGCCAAAGAGAGTGCATTGTGCAAAGTCAATGAGCCAACTTGAGGAACATAACTCTGAAATTAAAAAGTAAAAATATTAGGTAATCACCCTCACCCCGCAAAAAACGCTGAAAAATGTACCAAGTTGTACCTGTGTTTCACTAATAACTCACTCTTTCTATGTTACTTTCTAATGATACACCTCGTTGTCTTAATGGAGGTTCGCGGGGGGCTGTTTTTTTCCAGTTTAGTTCTGTTTAAACAAGTAGTAAGTATTGCAGTACCCATAACTATGGGAAAACTGACTATAATCAAGGTATTCTAGAAAATCTAAAGCAACTTAAACAAAATTTCAGGATAAAATAAAGTGCCTAGAAGATCTGATCTTTTAAGCTTGATCCTACAGAAGAACCACAAATGTCCTCTATACTTTTAAAAAATTTTTATTTTGTATAGGAGTACAGTTGATTCACAGTGTTGTGTTGTCCTCTATCCTTAAGATCTTTTATGAACTATAAGAGCTGGAAGAATGACAGAAGTAATCTAGTTCATCACCCTTACCGGACAAATATGAAAACTGAAGATTAGTGAAGTTAGTGACTTGCCAAAGGTTACGTTTCATGTTAGTAGAATCAAGATAGAACTCTTTGCACTATATCACACTGTTTCAAAGAAAACACAATTCAAGAAAGAGGGAGAAGGAATTCCCTGGTGGTCCAGGGTTAGGACTCTGCGCTTCTACCTCAGGGGGCGTGGGTTTGATCCCTGGTCAGGGAACTAGGATCCTGCAAGCTGTGTGGTGTGGCCAGAAAAAAAAAAAAAAGAAAAGAAAGAAAGAGAGAGAGAGAGAAGGAAAAGACAGAGAAAGGGAGGGAAAAACCAAACTACCCACTTGGTGATTTTAAAATTTATTTACTCTAGAGGATGTATTTATATTGGTATAGGGAACAAGAGCATAAAAGATTTTAAAAATATACTAAAAGGAGGAGGAAATTAAAGGATCTACTGGGAAAAGAATGTGTATTTATAAAAAAAATTTAATAGCTACTATAAAGACTAAAAAATTTTAGGAGTTTTATGGCCAAAAGAATGAATAAGGCTTTAAAATCCATCAAAAGTTTGCATGTTCTGTGACCATACTTGAGTTTTCAAGAAAATTAGTGTGGACATGCAGGTATTCCTAAATTTATCTGGCCTTTGGAGGATCTTACACTCCTTGAAAAGGCAAGGGTAAAAATGGATCTATGTTGGCCACTCCAAGTATGTTCACTCTACCCTGGATGGGCCTCCGCCAAAGCACTCCTGAACATGAGCTGCTTCCTTGGACTGTGACACGCTCCTGCTTGTTTCTGGAACCGTAAGAAGAAATCTCTCATGACAGCCAATAAACTGACATAGTGTTGATAACATTTTAATCTTGATAAAGAAAGGAAACATATTCTAAATCTGATAAATGTAAAAGAAAGAATTTATTCTGATTTTCTACTACATGATAAAGAAATCTTTTAGTTGCAGCCCAGATCTGCAAACATGTAAAATGTTAGTGCTTGAAGAGGCCATTAGAGTTAATACTGAACTCTAATTTTACAGATTGAGCCAAGTGAAGCTGAGAGATAGGCAGTAACGTGATCAACGCCACACTTTCTTGGAAGCTAATATTTTTTCACATACAGGGTATAAGTACTGAATATAGAAGAAGACTTACTTAGAAAACATTCACATTAATTTGGTCTAGTGAAAGCAGCACATCCTAGACATCTACACGTGTCTAGAAGATGGACAGGCAGGTTATAGTCACCTAGAAATTCTAAGTTTGTTTCCATGGAGCAGTGAGTTAAGAGTAAATGTAAGTAAGTGTGTAGGAAAAAGAGTTCATGGTCAAGTAAATTTTGAAAATGATGGGTTGAACAAAGTAAAACAGACTTCTTTATGCCTAACCTGCTCAGAGTGTTTAATACATTAATGTTGACTGAGAATCCCCAAGAGTAGCATAGCATGTGCCGGGTTTCACAAATTCATTTGGGCCCAAACTTCTTTTTTCTGTTAACAACTCCCTAAGTAGTACATTAATGAGTACATATTAAGAAATCTTTGCCCATTATCTTTAAACCCAGAAATGAGAAAACTGAGCATTTTCCAATTACAATATGTTACTATCCCTTTTCTTTTTTTTTTAATTTAAAAAAAAATTTTGCCCGCACTGGGTCTTTGCTGCTGTGCACAGGCTTTCTCTAGTTGTGGTGAGCGGGGGCTACTCTTCGTTGTGGTGTGCGGGCTTCTCATCGCAGTGGCTTCTCTTGTTGCAGAGCACGGGCTCTAGGCGCGTGGGCTTCAGTAGTTGTGGCACGTGGGCTTCAGTTGTTGTGGCACGTGGGCTCAGTAGTTGTGGCGCATGGACTTAGTTGCTCCGCGGCATGTGGGATCTTCCCGGACCAGGGCTCGAACCCATGTCCCCTGCATTGGCAGGCGGATTCTTAGCTGCTGCACCACCAGGGAAGCCCCTACTATCCCTTTTCTATCAATCAAGGTTGCAGCTACTGATAACCCACCCTTGCTCTGTACAATTCAATCAAATCTTACTGGAACAGTGGCAGGATACAGGAATTGGACCACTCTAATCCAGAAAGTCGCTACAAGGTTGAAATGTACTGTTCAGAGTTCAGTTCAATTCAACATATATTTATTCAATATCTCCTATACACATAATTCATAAATTCATCTTTCCAACCATTTATACCTCCTTTTTTCTCTTTTAATGATTTCAGCTGTAATAAGTAAGTGAATTTACCGCTATCTCCCTTCTTGGTCCTGCTACGTATTGAGCTATTAGCATTTTATTGCCATTTGCATCTATGGACCATGACTCCTAGGAAAGGAAAGTACAACAGAGAACTAACAGAACAAGCATTTTTGCTTTCAGACATATCAATTTTATTTCAAGGGCACCAAAACGTGCATCTGTGTACTACTATCAAAACTAATTAAAATAATACTTATTTTCTGGAATTCATCTATACTCATTCGATCTGAACTGGAAAATTTTCATTTACTAGGAAAGTAGCATTAAAATCACAATGCTGGGCTTCCCTGATGGCACAGTGGTTAAGAATCTACCTGCCAGTGCAGGGGACATGGGTTCAAGCCCTGGTCCGGGAAGATCCCACATGCCGTGGAGCAACTAAGCCCGTGCACCACAACTACTGAGCCCACGTGCCACAACTACTGAGCCCGCGCACCTAGAGCCCATGCTCCTCAAGAAGAGAAGCCACCTCAGTGAGAAGCCCGCTCACCGCAACCAGAGAAAGCCCACGCGCGGCAACGAAGACCCAGTGCAGCCAAAAGTAAATAAATTAAATAAATAAATTTTTAAAAAATCACAATGCTTTCTTTTGCAGCCAAATAAGTTACAAAATGGAAAAGCTCCTCTCCTCATTATATATAGATTCTCAGTACCTCTTGAAAGTCATCCGTTCCTGAAAACACATTAGGCCCTTTATTGGCCCTTCCTCCACGGTCTTTGCGTTTGATTTTCTTCGGCAAGCCGCGTCCACGAGCAACATTAAAACTTTTAACCCTCTGCTCAATACCTAAAAAAGTTAAAATGTACTTCAGATAGTTAAAAAAACAGCACACTAGACAATCTACTAGTTTACAGGGAATAGCATATTTTAAATACTCTATAATGTACAGTGTATTCTTTTTTTCCCTTTAGATTCAGTGAAAGCAATTAATTCAGTCTTTACATTTTACTTCGTGGGTACTGCTCCTTATTGTTTTGTTTCTTAAGGGATGTTAACAACATAAGGAAGGCAAGAAACAAGGATATATACATGGCTGGAGAGGTCAAATCTTGTTTTATTCTTCTCAGTTTTCCTTAGAATAAGCAATTAACAATGTTTTCTGTTTTTTTTTTTTTTGCGGTACGCGGGCCTCTCACCGCTGTGGCCTCTCCCATCGCGGAGCACAGGCTCCGGGCGCGCAGGCCCAGCGGCCACGGCTCACGGGCCCAGCCACTCCGCGAAACGTGGGATCCTCCCGGACCGGGGCACGAACCCGCGCCCCCTGCATCGGCAGGCGGACTCCCAACCACTGCACCACCGGGGAAGCCCATGTTTTCTGTTTTTAAGAGAATTAAATATTACATTCATCTCTAAGGAAGACATTGTAGGTATTCGTGATTAATTTGTGGCAAATTGAGTTTCTACTGATAATGTTGAACAGACATCACATATATCTCCAAGCAAAATTTATACTTGTCTTTTACTTTAGAAAAACTTGATATTTAAAAGTCTCTAAAGAGATACTCAAATGACTAAAATTGTATATTAGGGTAGTAAGTTACAATACAAAGTGATTTCTCATTATACCAAAGTCATATTGAACTAATAAGTTTTCTAATGATATTAAACCTACAAAATAGCCAATAGATATATAGAAAAATGTTTCACTTCATTAAAGAAATCAAAGAAATTAAAAATTTAAAGATAACATAACTATTTTCACCTCACAGAATAATGTTGGTAGGGATCTGGAGAAATTGGCATTTGCACACACTGGTGGGGGTGTTATAAATGGCTACATCACCTTTTTGGATATCAACTTTGTACATGGATCAAAAATCTTCAAATGTATCTATGTCTTTTGACTCAATTCTACATTTCAGCATTTACTCTCAAAAAAAAATGTTTGCCAAGATATGTATAAATATGTAGGGTTAATCACAGAATTTTAAAAAATGGGTGCAACTTAAATCCCAAATAATTACTAACAAACAAACCTAACAGTTTATTAGACAAATTATGGCATACCTATTTAATTGAATAGAATGTAGACATTAAAATCTACTCATTAACATAAGAATGACTGAGATACAATACACAGTTAAGGGAGAAAAACAAGTTATAACAGTGTATAGTTTTTTGTTAAAAAATAATTGTCAAAAAATTCTAGACGAATGTATACCGGGGAATTCCCTGGCAGTCCAGTGGTTAGGACTCCGTGATTCTACTGCAGGGGGCCTGGGCTTGATCCCTGGTTGGGGAACTAAGATCCCATAAGCTGTGGCACAGCCAAAAAAAAAAAAAAAAAAAAAAGTATACCAACAATATTAATAGTAATTGTCTCTGGGAGTAGGGATTCAAACTGCTTTTGTTTTATCTTTGATCTTTGCTGGGTTATCTTTTCTACACATAGAAAAAGTTTTCTACATTTGACCATATATTATTTTCATAATTCTGGGGGGAAAAATGAAAGTCAAAACAAAATGCAATACTCAATTCTTTAACAGAACAAACAGGAAGAGTTTGAAAGGAAGAACCCCAGGTGGGAAGGGATGAACAAGGCCTCTACATTCCCCTTATTCCCCAAGTGGAATGATCCCTGACACCACTATGTCTGGACTCCAGGAACAAACTTACTAATTACAATAGCATATGCATAGACAAATTCCTGTCTCTTTAGTTCAACAAAGCCTAGATCCACATTTTTCAAAGGAATTTTGCTTGGAAATCAAGAAAAAATAAAGCCATAAAAATAACCAAACTTACTCGTAACTGATTCCTTTTTTCAATGATAATTAAATGATAGTTACATAGGGCTTGGTGCTCACTACTTCACCGCAGCCTCATCTCGCTCCAGTTATCCTGAAGCAGACATATTGACTGGACAGCTCTTAAGGCTGACTTGACCCTGATTTGACCCATAATTTCTATGGCAATCTTGTACTGGTCTCTCCAGGGACTATGGACCTCAATATAGCAGATGAATAGGTTATCACTCCAGAAATTTCTTTAGATTATGTTCTTATTTCTGATCCTGAAGAACGTCTATAGTCCTGAGTACATTTACATAGCAAAGATGATCACTACATTTTAAAGCCTAATAAAAGAATAGCTTCCCAGGATTCTGTCCTTACAGGTCGAAAACATAAAGTAACACAGAGTAACAGAGACAGCTGAAAAAGGTAGGTTATTTCTTTCAGTATACTGATATCATATAGAAGGGAGGGGAAAAACATAACAGGAAAGTTGTTTTACATTTTTATACTCTTTAAAAATATTAAGAAATCTTTTAAACTCAAATTTTAAAATATCATGCAGATTGAAATATTTGTAGATTTTTATCTACAAATAAAAAAAGGTCTACAAATAAAAAAAAAACGAATTCAGGAAGCACAGGAATAAGCTGATCATGAGAAAGGGCAAAGAAATTTAAGATTTTACTTCATATTTACCTGTTTTAATAAGGTTCTCATATTAAAAAACAGACAATTTCAAACTTACCTTGCTGAATTCCTTTCAATCTTTGTTTTTTCCCTGGTTCTTTAGAAAAGGATGATCCTAAAGCAGTATTTGAGGTTTCTTTAGCTTGCCTGTATTGTTTCAGCTGACTGGCAAAATCTTCCTCTGTTTCCTGACTGTAGTTACCAAAGTTGTCATCACTGTAGTTACCAAAGTTATCATCACTGTAGGTACTGTACTCATCATATTCTTTACTTTTAAATTTTCTGTTATGTTGACTCTTCTTTGATGCCATGTAGCTTCCTGATATATGTCCATGCTAAGTGAAAACGCACAACCATTATCAAGATTTTTCAGTTATATCTAGGAATTGATAGTAACACAGGACATCTTTTTTCCCCCAGAAAGTTGGGAGAAAGAAGGGGAAAAGACAGTTATTAGTTCTGCCTCTTGGTTAGAACTTATCTATGGCACTATTTAAACTAAGTTCAAAAAGCTAAATGCTACTCTGATGTTATTAAACATTATAATGTTCATAGAACATTGCTGGAGAGTGTGTCTTGTTCACTTTTTGTTTTCCATGTCCATGTCTTATGTTTCTCATGCTCCACGCCTCGATATTTATACACATAAGAGTACTTTAAAATCCATACTGTCATACAGAAATTCCGTCTCCAAAAAACTGAAGAGGTCTTTTTGAAAACAGAAAAAAAAAAATAGTGAAATAGCTTGGAGCAAGGGTAGAAAATATATAGAGTCTCCTAAGATTCAAAAATTCCCAAATGACACGTTTAAGCATAGTATATTTAATTAAAAAACTATATGTAAAGTCAAATTTGTAAAAAGAAAATATTTACATTTGAGGTCTAATAGAAAAAAACAGAGATTTCCCTAATAGTAAAAAACATCTAATGAATAAATTGCTCATTAGAAACTATTTATTGCACTTATACGTTATTAATTTTATTACTTTTTACTAAAGCATGTAAAAACAAAAAGTACATTGTAGTCCTAGAAGTTCATGTAATGATAGTATTCAAGTATATCTCTATTTACTGAAATATTTTTATTACTTCTATCATACCTATTGCCAATTCTTTTATAAGAAAGCAAGAAAAAACTGCACATAGGGCTTCCCTGGTGGCGCAGTGGTTGAGAGTCCGCCTACCAATGCAGGGGACACCGGTTCGTGCCCCGGTCCGGGAAGATCCCACATGCCGCGGAGCGGCTGGGCCGTGAGCCATGGCCGCTGAGCCTGTGCTCTGCAACAGGAGAGGCCACAACAGTGAGAGGCCCGCGTACCGCAGAAAAACAAAAAAAAAACAAAAAAAAACTGCACATGATTACAGCTTGAGGATCTAGAAAAAGTCAGACCATGACTCATTTTCAGTTTAGTACATTTTAAATGTGATATAAAAATACTGCCCTGGCAGAATACCAACATGAGACTGTGTTTTTAATAAAATGCAGAGAACATACAGAGTGAAGTAAGTCAGAAAGAGAAAAACAAATATCGTATATTAACTCATATATGTGGAACCCAGAAAAATGGGACAGATGAACCGGTTTGCAGGGCAGAAATAGAGACACAGATGTAGAGAACAAACGTATGGACACCATGGGGGGAATGCGGGGCGGGGCGGGTGGTGGTGGTGGTGGTATGAACTGGGAGATTGGGACTGACATATATACACTAATATGTATAAAACAGATAACTAATGAGAACCTGCTGTATAAAAAATAACAATAAAATAAAATTCAAAAATTCAAAAAAAAAGTAAAATTCAGAGAAATATTAAGTCCTTTTCAGCAATTATAAAATAGAGAAAAACTATATAACTAAAGCAATCAAGAAAATCAATTAGCTCATCAATTTTAAAATTTGAAGACATTATATTAGATTTCCAAATTTTTTTAAGCAACACTTTTAAAGTTTATAAACTGTTCTCAGTCTAGCACTTCAGAAATTCAGAAGGGGATTTACAATTATAGCCAAAAGGCTGTTTCTTACATTTTAAAAAAAGCCACTATGAAAATAAAACAAAAAATAATTGCTTTGATTAAGCTGAAGATTAATTAGTTGAGTGGTACTTACATTTCCTTTTATAAAAAATGTGATTACATTAATTCTTCAACAATATATTTCAACGCCTAATGAGCAAGGATTACTCTCTGTTAATGGGCGAGTATGAATTTTTCTCTAGAGATTAGATGCTTTTCACAAAAGCTTTAAGTCTTAATATTAATCCAATTCTCTGATTTTTCACAGCCTTTACAAAAATAATCTCCATAATTCCTACTTTTTCAAGCAGAATTATCCCTAAACTTTCAATCCATCCCTCCCTTGTTTTCCCAACTGCAAATAATCCTAATAGCCCTCTAATTATGCAAACCTCAGGGCTTCCTCTGCAGTGACAGACTCTAATGTGGCTTGCTGCAGTGCTTAGTGCTTGCATCAGGGCACCACCCATGCGGTGCAAGCCCTCCAGGAAGCGCTAAATGAATGAGGGGTTACAGAGCAGTCCCAGTTCTCTAGGAGAGTATCTCCTCGTGCTTCACATGTTCACCATTTGGAATGAACAAAATGTACTCACCAGCAAGGATCTAGCAAGTATTTTTAAAAGCCCTCCTAAAGATAAAAGCAATGAAAAAGACTATAAATTTTACTGAAGGATATAGTTTCTCCAATCACTTTGCTTATTGATTATTGGGCTATCTACCTGCTAGAATGTCTGTGGGGGCAGATTTGGTTTCTGTTACACAGGCTGTCACTCTAAGCATGAAATAAGAGAACAGGAGACCCTGAACAAGGATGAGGAAAAAGGAGATATATTAAGTCCTCTAATTTAATAGCTAGATGCTAATACTATATTCTATTGTCGGCCTATAACTGTAGAAGTGTCATACAGTAGATACTTGTTATCTAATTAAATGAGATTTTTAGGATATACTTTCTAACCTCAGTGAGTCAACACTAAACCATATGTGAAGGAAATGATCCTGAGCTTTCTCTTCTAATGGCAGACTAGGTAATTTAATTCAGATCAGTCCTCCTAAAAAATGCAGCAAAGATAGACAAGATATTTTTTTCAGACCACTGTAGACATCAGAGAGCTAACAAATTAGTGAAGGATTACTGAACCGTTACCCATGAAGTAGATGAAAATCCCCAGAAGTGAGCAGTATTTGGAGCTGTTTTTGCTCTGAAAGCATCAGCCCAGCACGAAAAATCATCTGAAAAGGTTCAACAGCACTTTTGACTATCCTTTCAATCTCTGGGAACAAAAGGAGTCCAGGGTCTGGAAAAAGCGGAAGCCTTAGCGACACCCACCCACCAGAACTCAGAAAGTCTGGGGTTTTTCAGATACATGCACACTGACCTGAATACTCCTCAGTGCTCCTGAGAGCATCAGGATTTTTCTAGCACAAAATAATATTCAGATTGAAGATTCTGTTCATACAGTGCAACATATTTAAGGAAGACATAAAGTATATCATGTTGTTTAAAATTTTTTTCTGTTTAAAACACATCAAATAGTGTTTGCACTTGAAGAGGCAGGTGGCACAAAATTCATATACTGAAGCCCTAACCCTCAGTACCTCAAAATATCACAGTGTTTAGAGAAAGGGCCTTTAAAGAGGTGATTAAGTTAAAATGAGGATGTTAGGGTGGGCCCTGATCCAATTTGACTGCTGCCCTTATAAGAGGAAATTTGGACACACAGAGACACCAAGAGTCCACGTGCACAGAGGAATGACCATGTGAGGACAAAGCAGCACGAAGGTGAACATCTACAAGCCAAGGAGAAAGACCTAAACAGATCCTTCCCTTGTGGCCCTCAGAGGAAACCAAACCTGCCAGCACCTCGATCTTGGACTCAGATCTAGCCTCCAGACTGTGAGAAAATAAATTTCTGTTGTTTAAGCCACCAGTCTGTGGTATGTTGTTATGGCAGCCCTAACAGACAAATACATGACGTATTCTTTATTTTCAAAGGTTTAAAATTTGTAGCATATGTCTTATAAAATACATTTTTTTAATATCAGAAAGCAAAGAATGAAATTGAAAGTTTAATTTTTCTCTTTAAAAAGCAGTAACTCAAAACCACAGTGAGATATCATTTCACACCAATTAGGAAGGCTGTTATCCAAAACAGAACAAACAAACAAAAACAGAAAATAACAAGCTTGACAAGGACATGGAGAAATCAGAAAAATCTCATGCATTGTTGGTGGAAATGTAAAATGGTGCAGCCTTTGTGGGAAACAGTTGGTAGTTCCTCAGAAAGTTAAATGTAGAAATAACATATCATCAAGCAATTCCACTCCTAGGTCTATACTCCAAAGAATTGAGAGCAGAGTCTCAAAGAGATACCTATACACCCATGTTCATAGCAGCATTATTCACAATGCGCAAAAGGTGGAAGCAATCCAAGTATCTATCGACAAAATGTGGTATATACATATAATTGAATATTATACAGCTTTGAAAAGGAAGGAAATTCTGATACGTACTACAACACAGGTGAACCTTGAAAAAATTATGGTAAGTGAAATAAGCCAGACACAAAAGGACAAATACAGCATGATTCCACCTATATGAAGTACCTAGAGCAGGCAAATTCATAGAGATGGAAAGTAGAATAGTAGTTACCAGGAGTGGAGGGAGAGGGAAATTAGGTATTATTGCTTGATAGGTACATGGCTTCTGTTTAGGAAGATGAAAAAGTTCTGGAAATGGACAGAGTGATGGTTGCACAACATCGTAAATAAACTTAATGTCACTGAACTGTATATTTAAAAATGGTGAAAATAGTGAATTTTTCCAAAGACATACAAATGGCCAACAGACACATGAAAAGATGCTCAACATCACTAATCATCAGGGAAATGCAAATCAAAACCACAAGGATAGGGCTCCCCTGGTAGCGCAGTGGTTAAGAACCCTCCTGCCAATGCAGGGGACACGGGTTCGAGCCCTGGACCAGGAAGATCCCACATGCCGCAGAGCAACTAAGCCCATGCGCCACAACTACTGAGCCTGCGCTGTAGAGTCCGTAAGCCACAACTACTGCGCCTGCGTGCCACAACTACTGAAGCCCGTGTGCCTAGAACCTGTGCTCCACAACAAGAGAAGCCACCGTGCACTGCAACAAAGAGTAGCCCCCGCTCCCTGCAACTAGAGAAAGCCGGCGCACAGCAGCAAAGACCTGATGCAACCAAAAATAATTAATTAATTTTTAAAAAAGCACACAAAAAACCACAAGGATATATCACCTCACACCTGGCAGAATGGCTATCATCAAAAAGACAAGAAATAACAAGTGTTGGTGAAAATGTGGAGAAAAGGGAACACTTCTATGCTGTTGGTGGGAGTGTAAATTGGTGCAGCCGCTGTGGAAAACAGTACAGAGGTTTCTCAAAATATTAAGAATAGAACTACCAAATATCCAGCAATTCCACTTTGGGGTATTTTCCCAGAGAAAATAAAAACACTAATTTGAAAAGATATATGCACCCCTATGTTCACTGCTGCATTGTTTATAATAGCCAAGATATGGAAGCAACCTAAGTGTCCATTAACAGATGAATGGATAAAGAAGACGCAGTATATATATATATATATATATATATATATATATACATACAGTATATGCAGTATATATGCAATGGAATATTACTCAGCCATAAAAAAGAATGAAATCTTGCCATTTGTGACAATAAGGACGGACTTAGAGGGCATTATGCTAAGTGAAATAAGGCAGATAGAGAAAGATAAATATCACTATTATTTCTCTTATATGTGGAATCTAAAAACCAAAACAAATGAGCAAACATAACAAAACAGGAACAGATTCACAGATAGAACAAACAAGTGGTTACCAGAGGGGAATGGGGATGAAATAGGTGAGGGAGATTCCAGTTGCAAAATAAATGCAAAATAAATGAGTCACAGGAATGAAATGTACAGCATAGGGAGAACAGTTAATAATAATGTAATATCTTTATACGGTGACAGATGGTAACCAAACTTATTGTGGTGATCATTTTATGTATAGAAATATTGAATCCTATGTTGTGCACCTGGAACTAACACAGTGTTGTAGGTCAATTATACTCCAATTTAAAAGAAAAAGAGAGAGAAAAAGAAATAGTTAAAATGGTAAATTTTATGTTCTGTATATTTTATGACAATAAAAATAAAGGCAATACCTGAGGAAATGGAATGTCATAATCCCTGTAGAAACCACTTCTTTTTCTGTGGGAACTTTCTGTATGTTCGACCTCTGAATCAAGGCTGTAGTCTGAACTATCATCACTGGATGGAGAATTATGCTAAAAGAAGGAAAAACCAAAAATGTTACATTTACAAAAGGAAGAAAATTTAACTAGTAACTAGATAAGCTTGTTTTAGCCAGAGGTGCCAACCAATAGACTATATTATCCTAGTAGGTTCTGAAGTATTAACTGGAAAATTCTTGCTCCAAAGACCACTTCCACCCCAACTTCTCTGAAATTTTCTGAGGAATAGTACATCTTCCTCTTTTCTCAGGGATTTTAATGGCAGCATTTTCCCCACCATCCCTTTGGCCCAAGGACTTCAAATAGAAAATACTGCACCTCTATGCTCTAAAGTGATCTTAAATTTAAGTTAATCTTTGTTTTTAAAATTTTTGGCTGCGTTGGGTCTTCGCTGCTGCGCGCGGGCTTTTAGTTGCTCCGAGCGGGGGCTACCCTTCGTTGCAGTGCACGGCTCCTCACTGTGGTGGCTTCTCTTGTTGTGGAGCATGGGCTCTAGGCACGTGGGCTTCAGTAGCTGTGGCACGCGGGCTCAGTAGTTGTGGCTCGTGGGCTCTAGAGCACAGGCTCAGTAGTTGTGGCGCACGGGCTTAGTTGCTCCGTGGCATGTGGGACCTTCCTGGACCAGGGCTCGACCCCGCGTCCCCTGCATTGGCAGGCGGATTCTTAACCACTGCACCACCAGGGAAGCCCCTAAGTTAATCTTAAAGGAAATAAAATTGGTTCCTCATCACCAAAAAAGAGTCCTAGAATATGAATAGTGTATGAAGTAATTTATTTTTACCTAAGCTTTAGAGTTCTTAATCTATTGCATAAGTACCCTAAATCTAAAAGATATTAAAGCATTCCAAATTATAAATATAACATAAATCCAACCCACAAAATCGAACAAAGATGAAATGCAAACCACAAGTAATTGACAGTGATTGACAAATATCAAGAATAAGCTTTTTCAAGTATGAATGCAATTTCAAAAAAAAAATCACGAAATATCCTCCATCTAGACAAAATAATTACCTTCCCAGGTTGAGCACCCTCTTTAAAAAAATTTTTTGAAGTTCTTATCAACAAAGACACTGACTCTGTATTTTATCATCCTTGCATTCCCAGCATCTAAGACTAGAACAAACTCAGTAAAAATGTGCTGAACTAAATTGACCTCTTGATACTTTTGCAGTAGAAGGATCTGTTTTCTTCTACTCCATTCTTAAATGCTGGTTTAAGAAGACAAACTGTTTTCCTCCACCTTGTTCTTAAATGTTCTGGGGTTTAGTTTTGGGGTGCTGTTAATTCTGCTTTTGTTGATCTGATAGGTGATATGAAGATCTTTTTATAATTATGCTATGAAATGCTTCAAGCTTAACTACCTAATCTTTTTGGTTAGGACTTGAAATAAATATTGTCCATTTAAAAGCCAAGTTTGCTCTGGTACTAGCAGAAGTCAGCTCTGGCTCAAAAGAAAACCTTTACCTTGAAGAACACTAAAGGGGTAAAGGCTTGCTTAAGGAGAAGTTCAAACACAGGCACTGCTTCAGGAAGAGGCATCAGAGAAGAGAAGATTCTGTTTAAGGGAGAAGATTCTTCAGGCTAGCCCCCAAAATGAGTCTAGAACACAGACGTTAAGAAGTCATTAGGAAGGCTATTATAAAAAAGTATGTACGTGGCTCACCTACAGTAATAAGAAGTAATTATTAACCCAAAATTAGCAATTGGACTACATTAAAAATCGCTGGAAACAATAGAGAGTAATTAAAAATTATTAAAATTTTAAATTTTTCAGTGAAAAGGATAGTATATTTTTTTTTTTCAGAATTTTTGAGTTTCTTTTTTTTGGTTATTGTTTGGTATCTGTTTGGTGTTTGAAAGTGTTCCCTTAATTTTGTTATTTTACCTATAATACACCGGTGGATTATTTCTTTCAATACACTTGGTTGGTAAGTACTAAAGTTCAAGTCTAGGGACTTCCCTGGTGGTCCAGTGGGTAAGACTCCACGCTCCCAATGCAGGGGGCCCTGGTTCGATCCCTGGTTGGGGAGCTAGATCCCTCATGACGCAACTAAGAGTCTGCATGCCACAACTAAGAAGTCCGCATGCCCCAACTAAGAAGTCCACATGCCCCAACTAAAGATCCCGCATGCTGCAAAGAAGATCCTGCATGCCACAACTAAGACCCAGCCCAGCCAAATAAATAAATGTTTTAAAAATAAATAAAGTTCAAGTCTCAGTGATTATGCTTTCTATAGAACTCTTAACAAACATGACACCACAACGTGGTGAGTAAAGGGGGCAAAAGGCATAGTCAAGAACTAATTAACAGGATAGCCATTTAGTGACCCCTTTAAATATTCAAACAGTAACAGAAAGAATTTAGGGACTTCAGTGACTTCCCCAAACCATGCCAGCCTTTTCACACCTTTTTGCTTTTGTATTCTCTGTGTCTCTTTGGTCAACGAGCTAATTCCTACCTGTCCTTCAAGATTTATCACAAAACATCTCCATGTCCAATAGTAAGAGAATGATACTAAAGTATAATACAATACAGAGCAATCAATTAAAATGGTATTTTAGGAGATTTTATAGAAACAACAAAATGTTTATCTGTACTATTAAGTGAAAATGCAAAATATAAAATCAATTAAATGGCATTTCTCTAATAATAATTGTCCACAAATTCATTATTAATCCTACCCTCAAGAGGTGGAGATTAATTCCTCTCCCTTTGAGTGTGGACTAGACTTAGAAGCTTGCTTCTAGCAAACAGAATTTGTCAGAAGTGATTAGGTTATAAAAAAGACTGTAGCTTTCATCCTGGGTGCTCTCTCTTGCTCTCTTGCTTTGGAGGAAGCCAGCCAAAGCACGAGGTCAAAGAAGTGGTACGTAAAGTGGTCCACATGGTGAGGAACGGAGGCCTGCCAAGAGCCACATGACCGAACTTGGAAGAGGATCCTGCCTTAGTCAGGAGATGACTGCAACCTCGCAGGAAGCTCTGAGCCAGAATACCAAGTAAAGCTGTGCCCATGTTCCTGACCCACAGAAACCAGGAGACAAACTTTTGTTGTTTTAAGCTTCTAAGTTTGGGGTAACATGTTGCGCAGCAATAGTTAACTAACACAGGTTTTGGTAACTGGAAATGCGGTGCTGCCAGTACAAATATCTAAAAGGCAGAACTGGTTTTGGAACCAGGCAGTGGATAGAAACTGGAATGATTTTAAGAGGGCACTAGTGAAAGCCTAGATCACCCCGAATTATTGTTAGTAAAATTTTGGACTTTGGGCGACTTAAAAGGAAAGTGAGAGAGATCTTATTAAAACTGGAAAAAGGGAGATCCTTGTTATGCAGTGGCAGAAATCTAGCAACACTGTTACATTCAGCAATATGGAAAGTAGAAAATGTGTCTAATGAACTAGGTGATCTAGTTAAGATTTTCAAGCAAAATGTTGAAAGTACCTACCTATGAGGAAAGATAGATGAATTAAAGGAAGAACTGTTAAAAAGGAACCAGGACTTGATGGTTTTAAAAGTTCTTAGCCTCAAAATATCTAACTTTGTTTTTGCGCTTCCCTTTTTTCTCAATTAGTTTGGCCAACCCATGCTGCAGGGGGCACAGGTTCGATCCCTGATGGGAGAACTAAGATCCTGCGTGCCGTGCGGCATGACCAAAAAAAAAAAAAACTACTGACTTTTCATTCTAATTTGTTAAATTCTACTTATAACTTTATTAAGCCCTTCCTTTTTGTTTCTGTCTTACTTTGCTGTTTTCTAGATTTTAATACTATAATAATTTTTCTTCTGATAATTTTTTAGCTATCTTCCATATGTCAAATTCTATTATTATTTTCATGAAATTCGGCAGATTTAGTCTGCATTCAAAGGTGTTTCTGTTTTCCGACTTTGTTATTAATGTCTAGTTTTATTGCATCGTGGTCTGAGATTGCTCCTTGTACTATTTCTACTCCATCAAATTAACTGGAGTTTTCTTTGTTGCCTATGACATGGTCTGTTTTTATGAATATTCCAAGTATAGTTGAGAGGAAGATATATTCTCAGGATTCAGAGCTTACTATATATCTATAATATTTATAGTATTATATATTATAATATTATAATGTTTCCTTAATATGCTTACCACCTTTTCATCCATTTGATTAATCTCCTCGGGTTAAGAGAGGTATACTGGTGTATCTCCTGTTATTACTGTATTCCTGTCTATTTCTTCTCATAGTTCCTATAGTTCCTGCTTTATGAAAACTGATGTTTAAGGGGATATTAAATAACAATAAATAAATAAATCTTCACTGTGAATTATAACCTTAACATTATAAAATGCCCTTTGTTGTTTCTTTCAATGCCTTTTTGACCTAAATTTGACTTTTTCATATATCAACACTGTGATTTCTGCCTTTTCTTTCTTTGCATCTGCCTGGTATAGCTTTACCCACTTTTCATGTTTTTATTTTTTATTTTTTAACATCTTTATTAGAGTATAATTGCTTTACAATGGTTTTACCCACTTTTTAAATCTTTCTCTTTTACATAGCTTAGAGTTGGATTTTGCATTGTTGGGAGGTATATCTTTTGGTATTAGAAAGATTATATTTTTGTTTCAGTTATTTCTTTCAAGTTGTCTTTTTCCAATAACCTTAGTCCCTATCCCTTCTTTGCACACTATTTGTTTACTAGTAGGACCAATATTGAAACTAGGCAGTAACCTCTTCTTCTACTTCCTCTCTTTCATTCCCAGGATAGTAATTTGAAGTATACTTAAAAATTCTCAGTTAATAACTAAAAAACTACCAAGAAGGTTATCCTGCTTACCATGTATTTTTCTGCTTTCCCTGACGTTTTTTACAGCTGTAATGTTTCAATACATAATATACTGCCCCCCCATGTCCATCATTTAGTCTTAGCTTTACAGACTAATATGTAGTGTATGTAGATCACTCTCACTTTTTCAACCAGTCATTTTGGTTATCTGAACGTGTGCTCTAGGAGATTCTATGAGAAGTCTTATGATAATATTTCCTGACTTCTATTATATACAGTTTTTCTGAGGACTTTATATTTGAAGTTCGGTATTTAGCTGGATATAAAATGCTTGGCTTGCATTTTATTCAAATATGTTACTCCATTATCTTCTGGCATAAAATGTTGATATCAAAAACTTTTCTATAAATCTGACTTTCCTTTCTTAATAAGTGGCTTGGTCTTTTTGCCTAAATGACCAAAGGATTCTCTTTTCCCCCAGTTCTGCTGATGCTGTTTGATCATAGTCTGTATTATTTTCTTAATTTTTAAAAATCATTTTGAAATGTTAGGCTGTTTTTCATGTTTTGTGGGTATTCCTTCCTTTCTGGAAGAATATTATTCTCCCCATTTTCCTCTTTTTTTCATAAGAATAACTTATATGGAATGTGGTCGTGGTCCAATCTTGTTGCTCATGTGTCAAAGGAGGAATGAGCCAGGAAAACTGTCCCAGCTTCACTCTCTAGGGTCCTTTCTTCTGTCGTTAGCATGGGAAGTATTAAAGAACACGGCTGTGTATCTTCTGAGATGTGCCAGCCCTGCTCCCTTCCCCCATTTGCTTTCCTTGGCCCTGGTATTCTTGTCCTCTCAACTTAGATTCTACTCCTAGCAGTTTTCTCCTCAGGGTGGGACTCTGTCCTAGAAGAGATTTAGTTGATGAGTATTCATCAGGCACAGACCATTCTAGCACCATCCAATTTTACGTGGTCACCTTATACTCATGTGGGAATTGGGAGTTAGTAAAGCCCCTCTCAGTTTCCATTGCTGTTTCTCAGTTTGGCCGACAGGCTTTCCATGTTCACTGGGGACTCCTTCATTGAGATGAATACCTGTTGGTAATTTGTTTTCTGGAAGTTCTTTTTACCTTTCCTCTGCTTCATCTCACACAATTGCTGATCCTACTCTGGTCTTGTTGCTGTCTGTGGTTTGGCCTTATCCTTTTTTATTTTTGAGGTTTGTGAAGATAACTTGTTACTTCATTTTTTGGTAGATGTTGCCAATGAATTTTTGGTTTTGCTATTCTAATTGCTCTGTTTTTATGGGGGAAATTCAGGGAGTTTCAAAAACTACCCCACCACTGCTGCCAACTTTTCTCTGATTTCTCTGTCAGTATAGGTTTCCCTTCTCAACCGCAATCCACATTATTCTGTATCCAGCACCCAATTGCTCTCTTGATAGCATTTGTTTTTCAATTGTTTACTGCCTCTCTCCTTCCCTTTTCAATGTAATCTCTATAACAGCAGAGACCATTTCATTCATTACTATAACCCCCAGCATATAGCACAGAGATTTCCACAGCAGGCACACAATAATACTTACAAATGAATAAATAAATGAATGGATGGACAATGCCAGTGCAGTTAATCTATATCTGTAGAGAATGAAACTTTCTTTCCTTAAGCTTTCAGTATTCTTGCATACAATCTTCCATCAATTTAAAAGATTTATTCTAATTTGCATTAAAAGTTACTTTGATTATTTAATTTTTTTATTGGAGTAGAGTTGCTTTACACTGTTGTGTTAGTTTCTGCTATACAGCAAAGTGAATCAGCTATACGTATACATATATCCCCTCTTTTTTGGATTTCCTTCCCATTTAGGTCACCACAGAGAACCTAGTAGAGTTCCTCTGTGCTATACAGTAAGGTTCTCATGAATATTTTTAAAATCTTTAAAACTTTTCATATAATCTTTATGTTCATAAAATTTCTTAAGCATATAAAAAGATCTAATCCATATTTTTATAAGAAAATAGGCAATGATTTATACTTTGTAATTTTCAGTGTTTTATATTTCATAAAAATTTACCAAAAGAATAAAAAGTAGATTCTAACTAACCTTATGCTTCTCACGTTTTCTCCTTTTGGACTTTTTCTTCTCTTTTTCTTTCTTGTGTTTTTTCCTTGATTTTCTGTAGGCTTTCTCATTTTTCTGCTTTTCATCCTCTTTTGCTTCCTGTTCTTGTGTTTCTTCAAATCCTGCATCATCTATTTCACCATCTTCTAATTCACCATCTTCTCTGTAAAAGACAATGAAAATTTTAATTTTCAAACGTCAATTCTAAAGAGAATCTTACAGAAACAGTTCCAAAAGAAAAAAAAAGCATGAGCCAAGAATTTAAGTTATACTCATTTAGATCAGGGGTTGGCCAATTTTCTATAAAGGGCTAGATAGTAAACATTTTAAATTTGCAGGCCACATATGGTTTCTGTTGCAAAATCTCTCTTTTTTTACAACACCCTTCAAGAACGTAAGAAGCAATTTCAGCAGCCATAGTTTGCCAACCTCTGATTTAGAGTTAAGAGCATTGACTCTCACTCAATAAACGAATGAATGCACGAATGCAACAGTATCCCAAGGTAATACAGCAATAGTTACCATCTATAATACTAAGCTACCGTAAAAATGAAAGAAAGAAAGAAAGAAAGAAAGAAAGAAAGAAAGAAAGAAAGAAAGAAAGAAAAAAGAAAAAGAAAGAAAGAAAGAAGAAAGAGAAAGGGAGAGAGGGAGGGAGGGAGGGAGGAAGAAAGAAATTAAAACACTTTAGGAAGCAAACATTCTAACTACAGGAAGGAATTTAACTTAGTGACCTGTAGACAGCTATAAATAGCTTTAAAATAAAAGCAATGTAATATATTAATTCTCACCATAAGAGTAAAACTTCAATAAGACGACAAATTTCAATAGGTAGATAAGTAATCTACCTACTGAAACCTGAACCACAAAAGCAGAATAATAAATTCCTCAACTTGAATCTGTAAAAAATATTCAGAGTAAAACCAAAAATCTATAAATCTTTATATTAATTATGACATTTTTATAGTTATAGAAGCCCAAACATTCACTAACAGTATTTTAAATGCAAATTAACCAACTGATCTACATGGGAAGATAAATACATAAAATAATTTAAACATTTTATCCTGTTTCCATACAGTTTGAAAAAATGCAAACAACTACAAATATTACATGGTGATACAGAAAGATAAATGTCTTTTGTGACTGGAAGCAAATGAGAAGCACACAAACTATGGTGTGTGCATTTTAAAGATACTTTTAAATTACTAGAAATGTGTGGTTTCTAACTGATCATGTAGCACTGATCATGTAGCACTCTCCTGCTAAAAATCTTCAATGATGTGATGTCTCAAATTTGCTTCAAACAATCCACTGAGGATGAAGGAAGTGGTCTCAACAAGATTGGCCATGAGTTGGTAATTGCTGAAACTGTGGGATGTGTATATGAGGATTCATTCTACCATTCTATCAATATGTGTTTGAAGTTTTCCATAATAAAAAAGACAGTATCAGTGATTCCCTTCTGACCTGAGGATGATGTCAACACTCCTTGACACCAAAAGGCCCTTTATAATTGAGTCCCTGATTAACCAGCTAATTTCAATTCCTCAAGTCCCCAAGCCTTAAACATTGCCTTAAAAACTCTCATTGCCCTGCTCCTCTCAACATCCACCCTCTCACCTCCTTCACCTGGCTAAGTCCAATTCAATCTTTAGGACCCGGTTTAGATGTCCCTTCCTGCAAGATGCCTCTACTGACTACTCAGGATTAGGTGAGCTGCTCCATCCTAAGCACTCCCCTAATAATTCTCATTTCTTTATCTCTGCACTCTACACATTATGTTTGAATGACTTGCTTATTGGTTGGTGAAAGCGGGGTATGTGACTGTGTCTTTCATAGCTGTATCTCCTAACCCCTAGCACGGTGCCCTGCTTTTTACTGAATGACTGAATGTAAAATATCCATCACCCTTGCCATTAAAGAACAAGCACACAATATCACCCTGTATTGACTGTGAAGTCAATGTTGTTTTTCTCCAGTTTCCATCATAAAATCAGAGGTATATGTCTATTTAGGTGGACTTTAAAACTTCATGTGAGGCAGCTTCAGCATACTGGCTGTTTTAATTTAAAAAGTTTTGAGCTTTCATAACACTATAATACCTATGGCCCAAGAAAAATGAGTGCATATATTCACCCAAGGACAAGTATAAGAAAGTTTTTTAACAGCTTTAGTCATGATGGTAAAAAACTGCAAACCCAAATCTCCATGAACAGGTGAATGGATAAATAGTGTTTCATTTATATAATGGAATACTATAAAGCCCAAAAAAATTAACTACTGTACTGCTACACATAATACGATGAATGTTACAGACATAAGCAAAAGAAGCCAGACACGAGGGACTATTGTCTGACTCCATTTAGATGCACTTCAAGAACAGGCAAAACTCATCTATGGTGATGTGAGTTAGAACAGCGATTACCTCTTGGAGGGTTATAGCTGACAAAAAAGGAGTACTAAGAAGCCTCCTAGGATGTTAAAATATTCTCTATAGATGGGTATGGTGATTACTACATATACACGTGTGTAAAAATTCATCAATTCTTAAAAATTCAGTTAAGAATTGTACATTTTACTGTCTATATGTAAAATCTGAATGCAAACAACAACAAAATCTACAGGTGTTCATCCTTTCTTTTACCATCATTCTCCTCCAGCTTGAGCTCCTTAAATCATACCTTAAAGCCACTAATTCATAATTAGCATTTTTGACTAGAGCTATTTAAATAAAGTACTCAAGCTGAAAATGCTGCACATGATTATGTTCTACTTTACTTAAATTCTTTACCTGTGACATACGGGAGTTTATATTTGTTATTAAACATAAAACACTGAAAGTTTAAAATTTTTTCTTTCTTTTCCTTTAGCCTCTTTATCATTTCACCCTTCATACAATAACACATTTAAATTTGTAAATTTATGTTTGGTTACATAAAGGAGACTAAAAGGAAATGAAGAACAATGATCCACACTTCTATGAGCTGCTTCCAATCTTTTAAAAAAATCACCTTTGGGCACAGATGGAAAGCATGTGTGGCATAATGGAAAGAGGAGACTTAGTAGGAGGAAAACTGGATTCTAATTCTAGCTCTGTCACCAAAATAAAATAAAGCTTTCTTGATTGAGCACCTACCAATGTATCAGATACTAATCCAGCTCTGTGAAAAATCAAAAAATAGAAGAGATAATAGAAGTAATTAAGAGTGCTTGGCGTTCTCTAGATTTTGAATTAACACTATTATGAAAGCTATTGTGGTTACTAAACCCAAGATATATTTTTTTAGCTTAATAAATAAAAAATAAAAATTCCTAAGTCAACCATATATGGGTGACTTTTTATTAGTGTAAAAATAGGTGGCTTCCCTGGTGGCACAGTGGTTGAGGACCTGCCTGCCAGTGAAGGGGACATGGGTTCGAGCCCTGGTCTGGGAGGATCCCACATGCCATGGAGCAACTGGGCCCGTGAGCCACAACTACTGCGCCTGCGCGTCTGGAGCCTGTGCTCCGCAACAAGAGAGGCCGCGATAGTGAGAGGCCCGCGCACTGCGATGAAAAGTGGCCCCCGGCTTGCCGCAACTAGAGAAAGCCCTCGCACAGAAACGAAGACCCAACACAGCCAAAAATAAATTAATTAATTTAAAAAAATAATAGAATGATTATGTCCTTTTTAGAAGGAGTCATATTCATGTCACAGACATGTACATAACCGTCCAGTTAATAAACAAAATTATCTTTAAAAGAATTTCTCTCAGGCATATCCATAAAGACAGACTAGAGGAAGAATGGGGAATGATTGTCAATAGGTACCGAGTTTTTTTTAGGAGTGATGAAAGTGTTCTAAAATTAGATAGTGGTAGCAGTTGCATAACTCTGGAACATCCTAAAAATCAGTGAATTGTATACTTTAAAAGGTGAATTCTATCTCAATAAAGCTGTCATTTTAAAAAATAATAAAATAAAAATTTAAAAGATTTTATCTCTAGATTTAAATATCTAGACTGGAGACAACTAGAGAAAATCATAATACACTGTAGTATAAATTAAAGACTCTGAAACTGGTCAATGCCCTCACTGTTCTTATTCTGAGGTAACTAGTCACTAAATCCTTACAAATTGATACACCTCAATAGAGAATTCTACTTTTCTCCATTTTGGTATTGTTGGCTATTAAAATAAATTAACCTGAACCATTCAGTCTTACCTCCACAGGTAGTGTCTGCTTTTTCTTTATGCTTGCCTAAAGGCTCCTGTTACAAGCTATAGATCAGAAACTGAGTCTTCTGGAAGAAACACAAAAGCCTCAATAAAAGACTATACAAGTGCTCCTGATGGATGATATTACAAAGATATTACTCATGAACACAAGCTTCCTGGGATAAGCTGATAATGATCACTACAAAAAAGACATTTTTCAGAGTAGACAAGTTTACAGAAGTAGACTGCTTATCCTAAAACCAAGAGAATACAAATTTTCTAGATGCTTGAAAATGATTGCTTGTAGCACTTTTCATGCTTTGTTCTAATTCATCCTGTCATTTCTCCCTTACCATGGATGATAAATGTAGGGGAACTGCTCTGTACCAGTGTCCTGGCAACCCTACATGTCTCCACATAGGCCACAGAGGCAAGGCTCAACCACAGGCTGACCTAAACCTTAGCAGACGCCCTGTGGTCCCCCCAAAGTATGGAAAGATAGGTGCTGCTGCAAGGCTATTTCTCACCCACCTCCTTATTTCGTGGGAGGCTGCTATAAGGCAATTTCTCATCCACCTTCCCTGCTTCCGGTGAGGACTTAGATTTTCCACCTTGCCCACTCCTAAGTGTACAGCTGCAGGCTTTAAAAAACTGCATAGCTGCAGTATGGAAACTGTTCCTCAGCAACAAGAGTGCCCTACCACTCACATTACCTATGATCCTCTGGCCTCTTTGATTTCAGTGTTATCCTGTAGGACAAGGGACACGAGAAGCTGACCCTATGCTGATATTCAATTTGTCGTCTATGTATGAAATAAACTCTCTGAATCTTACTCGCTGAACCTGTAAGCAGGTGTCACAAAAAACTTGCTTGGGTCTAGGATTTGCCCATGCCTGCTCTGATTGTTTCCCTCAATCTGTATAGCTTATGTATGATCCTCTTGATTAAGCCTTAACCTAACT